GTCAACGCTAAAGAAGTATTTTTCGTGTTTTTATCGAGAGTTTTGAGATTACCAGTAAGTCACTTATTTCAGCTGTATTCATCCCATTGCATTTGACGTGATAAACGACTGTTGCTAAGACCTAAACGAAGCGAGGTAGAAACTGAAGTCCACTCTGTCCGTGATGAGGACAACTTTTGAGGAAGTAAGGCCTACTTGTATGATTGTGGGAAAATTCTAATACAAGTCTTTCATTACCTTAAATGAAATAGGGTGAACACAACTAAAATGCATAAACCATTGACATCGTTTGGGAGAATAATCTAATGAACATGAGATTGGAGGAAATTAAAGTTAACTGTATTGGAATGTAAACAAGTGAGAAGTAGTGATGTGGCAGGAGTGGGATAAGAGGGTAAAGAGTAGATAGATAGACAATGACAGAAAGAGAAGTGGGAGTGTAACCGTTTTCGGCAGAACGTTTGTCGACGGATTGACTTAACCTGGAGAATGGCAAAACTGACTAAAGATGCCGACTACGAGGCCGGCGGAATGTTTGAGAAGGTACCGAATTCACTGTCTAATGCGGAGAATCATGACAACTACTATGGCAGACGACTTCGGACTAGGTGCGTTCTCCTAATTCGCCCTGACGACAAGACGAAGTTGTGACAACCAGGTCAACCCATTTCTGAAATGCATTCAGTTAGGATACACACACACACACACACACACACACACACACACACTGTTCAGGGAAAAGCCTGCGAGTTTTCTCGTCTTGTTAGTTTGAATATGATTGTAAAAATGATACCCTGGCCTGATGATGTACGTCAAATAACAAACAGGAGCATGCTACATTTCCACTCGGGAACAGTTTTCGCAAAAAGGTTCCAGTAAACCCAACCAACAGCTGACCAAGTGGTATGCGTCGTCGTCTTCAATTACCAATATCTTCATTATGCACCAAATAAAATAAGTAATTGTTGAGCTTACTTCCATCTCGAGTGAAGGCTGATCCCATCAGAAGACGACGGCGGATTCCCCTTGACCCGACGTCGATTGGCTTTACTGAAACATTCCTGCTGACGTTGTTTCCGAGGCAATCTCTTTCGATTTCCGCGAAAATGCGCTAAACTTTCGTCCATCGTATGACAGATCGACAGCTGGTCAAGAGGAGTCCACCGTCATCTTTTGATGGTACCAACCTTCCAAGCCTTTCACCAAACACTTTCACTCGAACTGGAAGTAAGCTGAACAGCCTCAACTCGTGATCATCACATTTCTCTGCAATTTCCCAGCGTTTATGGCTTAAGGCCAGTTTACGATTGCAGCAGTCTGCAAGAATTGGCACGACAAAAGTGGTTCTGGTAGACTTTTCGTTTCTCCTTCCCCACGGAAGTGAGACCTTAAAGTTGACCTACTGTTGACAGGCCGACCGGTGTTTCGGCCACCGGAACAAAGTGGCCACAAGGTCACAGGAAGTTGGGGAAATTGTGTCAGAGCTAATTAACAGTCTTCTCAGTGAACTGTTCCCCTCGGACGAGGCAATCGGCCAGTCTTTTTGACAAACGGTCTGTTGTTTGACCTCGAGAAAGCGTGAGTCTACGGGGACGGGCAAAGATTGGCCAAGTTGTCAGGAGGAAGAAGACACCGGAGGCAAAACGAGAAAAGTCGAGTTCCGACTGCCTCTCCGGTCTCCAGGGCTCAGGCCCGACTGTCTATGCTCGGATTCAAGGCAGCAGATGAGTTTGTAGAATTGAAGATTTGGTGATTTTGTATGAATCGGCCTTTACTTTTCCATCAAAGACCGAAGTGGCCATGCATATGGAGCCTTCAGGCCAGAGCAGATGGGAACTTGTCGGTGAAAGAGTCGTTGCTAAGTAGGCTGTCGGGACGAGCAGTAAATCAGTTAAATGACATGTATTCAACCTAGTTCGTCCAACTTGCTGAAGGACTGGTGGGTTAAGCTGAAGCTGATGCCCGTTTTCACATGGAAAGAACGAAAAGGTCTTGTGGACTACATCAAACGACATTCAATTGCCCTATTCTGGTGAGATTGACTCACGAATCGTTTCTTCACACAATTTCATACGAAATGAAAGTCCCAACAATAACGTTATCTCAGTAGAATCATCGAAACCCAGTTACTTTTCATAGCTCCCATTGAATTTCACACACACCAAAAGCTATTCGCCTGCAGTCTCGACCTCGTCTAGGCCTTTTCAACACCCCCAGCGGGAGTCGAACCATGGCATCGCAGCGTTTAATCTTGACATGTCAACCAATAGCGTGAACACAACTTAAAGGTGTGATTTACCGGTAATCTCGGAAAAGCAAAGAAAAAGGACAAATGCCAGTTTGCCTCACTGTCTGCGAGACTGACTACTTACGAACAAATGAGTAGCAAAACAGATTTAATGGCAAACACCAATACCAGCGTATTTTAAAAAATGATGATTTAAGAAAGGTTTATCTTGTCACTATGCTCATGGGGCTAGGAGGTGACATGATCGCGGTTCAGATCTGACTGAGTATGTGGATGGGAAGAGGAGGCGATGTTTTATGTTATGGGTCCGGTCCAGAGACGGGCTAAACGGCGAGTAAAGAGAACGACGAAAAGCAAAACTGCTCTCTTATTCCCGTTCTCACGAGCGCACTTGATGTCAGTGCAAACCGGTACCATTCTATGCAGATCATGGAGTCTGATCCGAAATCCGCAGCATAGAAACCTGTTTGCATGATGTTGTCGAGAGGCTGTATCTGGCCTCGAATTGGGACTGATTATAGAATAGTTTGGTGCAGTCGTTAGGCTGGTCTGTAGCTATTTTTGCCGAAACAGTGATATCGGTATGTAGTTAAGGTGTGATTAGGATGCCACAGCTGTTTGGCAGTGGAAAAAAGGGAATAGTTTGAAAAAACTTTCAACTGCACATGGAGCCCAGTAAGCATGGTTTGTGCTAGAACGATAACATTAGTTTATGTACACCATAAAGCGTTCATACTCGAGATGGATAGGCGGACTGTAAGCATCGAAAGAAGGAGGAGAAGACTGCAAACTCACATGGACGGCTGACTTATGATCTATTCCCAAGTCGAATATAAATCGCAAGCATTATGCATGCATTCAAGCTCGCAGTCTAAACTTTCTGGAAGCGAAATCTGTTCGACATTTTTTGCAGCCAGCTACAGATGCTGCAGACCGTTTAATCCCGCAAAATTGTCCACACAATTGCTGCTGGACACGGACACACGAATGACTCCAACCTCGGGGCAAATAAACGGTATCGCAATTGGGCATCAGTTAGGACGGTACATTGGCTCGACCAGTTTATTTATAGGCACAGTTTTTATTGTCTAAAGTTGGTCTCAAAACTCTGCTGAGTGAATGCAAATAGCTCGCGGTTTGGCCAAATAAAGAGGGAACCCTCATAGGAGAGTTGCAGTCCATTTAAACAACACTCACTCCCTAAAGGATGGGCCAAACGTCTGGGCTAATACAAGCAGACAAGCTACACGAGCGCTCTTCTGCCTCTTCGTGGGCCTGAAGTCGCAAGTGGGTAAACATAAAAATATCATATTATTCGTTTATAAGTGGCTTTTTCAGACTACCAAACGATCAGCATGAATGAGATGTATTCACCCCATTTCGTGTAAGTAATTTCGACATCGCCTGAATTGGTCCCATCAGCAGGCACGGAGGGAAGTGAACCGTGACAGAGCAGTGAGAATGCATTTTGGGAAGCACAGCTCGGTGAAAGGA